TCAAGGCATGGTCAGTAACTTGATTGTGGAGGATTGGAAAGTTGGGTTGAGGGTGAAGAAGGCTGAGGTCAAAATTGACCATTTGGTGACAAGGGAGGAAATTGCTGGGTTGGTGAAGAAATTCATGGATTTGGAGGATGAAGAAGGGAAGGAAATGAGGAGAAGAGCTAGAGAGCTTAAAAAGATATGCCATGGTGCCATTGCAGAAGGTGGGTCATCTGAGACTAACATCGATGCCTTCATTAGAAGCATTTCTCAAGGCCATGAGCATTAAGCCAAGACTCAATCTACTTGTTGTTAGAGGTTCTCAAAAGACTGTTTAAAAGCTTGAAATAAGGTTCCCTTATAATATTTCAAATTTTGTTCGCAACTTACATGACATGTTCACACAACAGTCCTATGTTTTGGAGGCCTTAGACGAACAGCTTAAATGGGGCCTTCTACTCTATATGTAAATTTATGTGTTTTTTTTTTTGGTAAGTTAACAAAATATTATATGAACTAAAATTCACAATTGTAACATAAAAAAAACAATCAATATATAATTTACACAACAATTATATAAAACGCATCAAAACATCACTTAAATATCACTCTTGCATTTTTTTTTAATTCAAAAGTATCAATTAACTTTACATAATCAAGTTTTTCTACCATGTATTTTTCAATTTCCTAATTGATTCAACTAGGTTGATTGATTTAAGCTATAAGTTTAAAAAATAATTGGGTATTTATTGAGTTTCCTTTTTTTAATTTTTAATTGAATAATTGGGCTTTTTTTATTTTATTTTTTTTACAATGAGTGGGCCTTTATTGATTTTCCTCTTTTTAATTTTGAATTGAATGAATAGGTAATTTTTTTTTTTATATTTACAATAATTGGTTTAGGCCTAACATAATATTTATATAATATAGTTTTTTTTTATATAAATAATATAAGTATGTATATATAGAGTATTATACAAATTGGAGGCCCTCCAAATTTAGGGCTCCTAGGCGGCCACCTTATCTGCTTATGCCGAGGGCCTTCCCTGTGTTCACATTGTGTTTGGTAAATTGGTAGACCTAAAATTCACATTGAGTTTGGTGGAGCTAAATCTCCAATGTGTATTTTCCTTTTGTATAAAATAAATATTTAAAATATATCAAAAATATATAAATATATAATATATAAAAAAAATTTAAAAACCCTAAGCTCGGAGTTTGAAGGAAAAACATGTAAAAACTTGAAAGAGAAAATTTCCTTAGATTATGGTGGAGATACATTCATGTCTGAAATTTACTTCCTTTTAACTCCAAGATCCTTGGACAAGGGAAGAGGCAGCCAGCCGGTAGTTGAGAGTGGCCCAAAAACAGAAACAATGACAAAACTTTTGTCACAAAAGCAGCCCATTTGCCTATTCCTGTGGTGTGGGCTTTAAAGTCAAAACCAAAGTATAAATTCTCAATTAATCTTTCAACAAAAACAAAAAAATTTATCAATCAATCTCCTTGAATTCGGGAGGAAAATAAAAAATAAAAAAAATAAAGGAAAACCCTAAATCCGAAATCTTTGGAACCCTAATGCCAAAATCAATCTTCTCCAAACTCCTATCCCAATTTGCCTGCCTTGTTGACTCGTTAAACTTAAACCCCTTCTCTCTCTCTCACTCAAGTCTCAGACATATTTATCAATAATCCAAAAGATGATGCAAGCCAAGCTCTCTTCTTTGATATAGCTGTTTATGGAGAAATCCCAATCCAGTAAAACCCAACTCCCCAAACTCAAATCAGACGAATCGGACCCAAACCCATCTAAAAAACCCGACTTCTCCCAAACCCATCTCGCCAAGCACCGATTTTGCTCTTCCCATGGCCACCGACGCCACGCCCAAGTTCAAAAACCCGGACTTTCGCCCGATTTCTCAGCCCCAAGACTACCGGCAGGACGCCACCGTTTCGGCCCACGACGGCCTCCACTTCTGGCAGTTCATGATCGCCGGCTCCATCGCCGGCATGGTCGAACACATGGCCATGTTCCCAGTGGACACCATAAAAACCCATATGCAAGCTCTCGGGTCCTGCCCGATTAAGTCGGTCGGAGTCCGGCAGGCCCTCGGATCCATTTTAAAGTCCGAGGGGGCCGCCGGCCTCTACCGTGGCATTGGAGCCATGGGGCTCGGAGCCGGCCCGGCACACGCCGTCTACTTCTCCGTCTATGAGATGAGCAAGAAATTTTTCTCGGGCGGGAACCCGAACAACCCGGGTGCCCATGCGATTTCGGGCGTTTTTGCTACGGTGGCGAGCGACGCCGTTTTTACCCCCATGGACATGGTGAAGCAGAGGCTGCAGTTGGGGAACAATCTTCATAGTCCGTACAAGGGAGTGTGGGATTGTATGCGGAAGGTGTTCAGGGAAGATGGGGTGAGGGCGTTTTATGCGTCGTACAAGACGACGGTGCTGATGAATGCCCCGTTTACGGCGGTGCATTTTGCGACGTATGAGGCGGTGAAGAGAGGCTTGATGGAGATTTCACCCGAGCATGCGAACGACGAGCGTTTGATTGTTCATGCTACTGCTGGTGCTGCAGCTGGTGGCTTGGCCTCGGTGGTCACTACGCCGCTGGATGTGGTCAAAACTCAATTACAGTGTCAGGTAAATCTTTTTGTTAGTTCAATTTGGCACTTGACTGTTAAGCATCGCAAAATTTTGGACCAAATTGAAGAGCTAAAGAAGATAATTAATAGATACTAGTGCAATTGATAACCGTTAGTTTCCAAGTACTTGACTGTTTAAGGTAATGAGAGCAGAAAAGAAGTTATCTTTTATTCAAATGGAAATATTTTGAAAAGCGTTTTCTACTAAAAGCAAAAACATTATCTCCCATGTCCTACTCAATTTTCATCAGTATGTTTTGGATATCATATTAAGAATAGGACTTCACATTTTCTATTTAACATGCACTTAATTCAGTTTTGTGTGTGTATTTCGAGTGGAAGCCGAGAAAGTTGTTCTCCTCGCTATCTGGTGCTGCATTTATGTGTGGCAATTGGATTCGGAGAACTAAATCATCTTCATTTCTTTAATACAATTTTCCTATCAAAAGAATTTGTTAAGATTTGAAACAAATGATGGATAAATTGTAGGCATTGCTGCATGCTGCCAACTATACCTAAAGTTTTAGTGGAATTACTAAGCCCTGGATGATTTAAGTAAAGATATGTGACGGCTATATAACTGCAACCTGTGTCTGAAATACTCATGGTTTTTTTTTGTCATTGATTGGTTGTACAGGGTATTTGCGGTTGTGACAGATTTAAAAGTGGTTCGATTAGAGATGTTTTTCAGACAATAGTGAGAAAGGATGGATACAAAGGTCTTGTGAGGGGATGGGCTCCAAGAATGCTCTTCCATGCCCCAGCTGCTGCTATCTGCTGGTCCACATATGAAGCCTCAAAAACCTTCTTCCAAGAACTCAATGGTAGTAGTAGTAATAGTGGCACTATAACCTGAAGAGCCTTTAAAGACAAAGGAGATTATTAGGTATACCTTTGTATAATTGAGAAATCAGAGTTTGCTTCACACGACGGATGAGTGAGCAAATTTTTCAGACCTGACTGGAGTCTATTTTTATAGGCAGCATCGTAGTCAGCGAGTCAGATTCATTGGTGTAGGTTAATTTTTTGTATTGTACACATTGTTGTCTGTTTCAATCAATCTTTTTTGACCCCCAGTGTTTGTTCTAGATATCATAGAAATAAGTGTTCTTGTTGTTTTTCCATTAGAATCTCCGTTACATGAAACCCCGTTTGAGAATTTTTCATCTGTTTGGGTTTCTTGATGATGTATGGATCAATCTATCAATAATAAAATTTTGAATAATATTTTAGCTCTCACAAATGTTAATGTTGGTAGATATTATTGATTTCTGCTTCATCAGTTATCGGTCACCATATTGCTCCATGAATTTTCTGGGATCTCCTCGGTAGTTTTAATCTGATTGGATTCATTTATTTTGCTTAGGGTATTTTGACGACAAGGCATTTGTATGGTTATTATGTTTCCATCCTCTTATCGTCATTCCATTTGTCAATGAAATGTGTACCAATTGGCTTGTGAAGTTGGTTATAATCATTAAAAGGGAAAATACATAACAATCCGACTATCCCACAATCTTCATTATAAAGGGTGTTTCAATAATCATGAAACTTCACTTTTGTCGATGATGCTTGCACAAAATAAACGTGCAAAAGTTTCATGCGGACTGTTGACTTTATTTGAATGAAGACGTGACCAGAAATAGGAAATTCAGACAGTAACCAGAATTTTATAGCAATGTCTTGCTTAATGCACAAGAGAGGTACCCCTACATTTTCCAAAGCAGTACATTCGTAGACAAAATATGAATGGATATTTTTCAATCAGTTGCTGCCGTAATCTTTTGTGGATCTATGAAAGTTATAAGACTGTTAAAAAGGATGAAAAAATCAAAGTAAAATTATTGCACAGCTGCCCTGCAAAGGGAAGGTTTGTGTTTGAAGTTTGAATCTCTTGGAAAAAGATCAAAATGGTTCATAAGCTTACAACCTGACCAACAATCACAGTGATATCATCGGGCTTTCCACCTGCACAAACAGAAAACTCAGGTCAGCCATTAAACCAAAGAATATGAATTGTCATCCATTAAACCAGAAAGACCATGCCTGTTAGCTTCATTCCAAGAATTTTCTTCCATAAAGGAGCCTCAAAACCCTGAGAGGTGAGAAAAAGCAAGGCAACAAATTATTATGTCTTCATTGCGAGAAAGCGTCATGATTTAGAATTTGGTTAAGTCAGATAATTAATATTACCCTTGATCTAGCCTCCATGGAGTAGGGAGAATCAAAGTTTGAATCCAATGAATGATTGCTTGCCAAATTAGCTAATGCCTTTGCTAGCATTAAAATCAATTTCAGTTAGAAAGAAAATAAATTATGTGCTGAATTACTAATCCCCATAGAATTTGTTGATATTGGAAACACATACCAGCCTCGGCAACATCTCTGTATCCGGCCAATGCTGAAACAATTTCATGGTCGAAAACATTATCAAAAAGTCCATCTGAGCCCGTTACTATGGTGTCTCCTTCCATCAACTCAATACTGCTGACCTGAAATTGGAGACTGATTATCCCACAATCATAATCATCGGCAATCATCATAATCTGATTTGCACTAAAAAAATGGCAATTCCACAAAGGTTGGTATCTGTTTACTAGTTGCAGGCTCTACATGAATATATGGTACAAATTTTTTTTGTCAAACCAGCCATTATAAATTCTTAGAAAATCCTGTCATATTCAGTTTTTTTTGCTTTGTTTTCAGTTCCCAGTGGTTAAGCAGCCAAAAGGAGATATGAAACCCATGTAAGACATTTGTGCATGCGCTGTCGTTGATCCAAATTAGGACACTGAACTGTTAGTTTAGAGAGACTAGAATATAGACAGCAATCACGTAGTGTTAGATAGGTGTAAATACCATCGCATCAAGGTATGTTTGGCTAACAGACTCCGAACTGAGTTGGTATGGACAATCAAAATAGTGTTCTTGTGGAGATGTGGAAAAATTAATTTTACCTGCAAGTTGTCACAATGACATGTCATTTCCAAATGGAGCAATGGAGAGCTCAGAACTTGTTCACAAGTATGGCATTGGGAATAATATATTACCTTCACGAATAACCTTTAGTCCACAATCCCCAACATTGGCAATTTTCAGAATCCCATTCCTCTCCAGCATGGCAACAATTCTACTCAGAGTCAGACAAAGGAAAGTTAAAAGTAAATAGATGTGTGTGTGAGGATGTTCTTAACGAAAATGACAACTATAGCGAGGATCTCTTGAACAAAATGATGAACTTACACCGTAGCAGAACCTGTAGAAGAGGTAGCAGCATGAGCTTTTCCTATCAGAATCTGAGGATTGTTGTTCCCCTGCTATATAGGTAACATGCATCGGATTTGTTAGCCACACAACATATGCAGAAACTCGAAAAGCTACTTAACAATAATGGCTCTGAAAACATAATGAAAATGATAAATTGTTTTGAGAGAAACAAGACATCATTGGTAATATTTACTCAAGAAGACTACCTCCTCGTCTCCCAGAAGACATGAAACATTGGCCATCAATTCTTTAGGGAACAATGAAGGATCCACATCCTGCTCAGCCCAACTGGCAAGCCAAAAATGAGAAGATCACAAATTCTGAAATCAAAATGACTTTGCAGCATAGATTGAATCATAAGTTTATTAACCCAACTCGACAATGGATTTCTTGTGATTCATCAACCAAAATCCAACCTATCTTTATATTCTTTCTTTTTCAAATCGCAAAGCAGCTGTTGAAAGCTTTAAAGTTCATAATCTAATAAAAAAGAAACCCAACTTAGTTTCCATACCCAGAGACACCATCAGCAACAGCAATAATTCCCCCATTGTAGCTGCTCACAAAGAAAGCATCTTCCCCACCTTTTTCAACCTTTCAAAACACCACCAAGACTTCAAATTGTTAGAAGTTTGATAATAAAGACTAGAACTTTCTTAGAAAAACATCATGCCCAACACAAATAACGAACATGCTTGAAGAAGACAAACATGGGTTTGCAACTTGCAAGTATGAAATACCTTGTTGGGGTGTGGAATAAGATGAGTGCCAACACAGAAAGTCAGCTCTGGCCTACATTAACCAAGCCAAGATACATCAATCAACCAACATGTTTAAATTATACACATATTAATCCTAGAGAAATTCATTGCAAGCTCCAATAGTTAAACTTAAGACTCTCACACAAAAAAGAAAAAAAGAATGATGCCAGAACTTGGGCTGAGAAATTAAGATTGGCTCACCGAACTGGATTGAGTTCTGATGAAGCACAACAAGAGAGCAACCTCTTCTTCTTTGAAGCTTCATCTGTGAGTGGTAGAGCAGAGGAAAGGGAATGAATGAGCAATGGATGAGACTTAGGAACTGAGGCCCTGAATATGGGAACTTTCATTTTCCCGCTTCCACTCCCTCCCTCAATGCCCAGCCAAAGCAGCTCAGCAGAGCTCAAATGTGTGGTTCCAAGTTGAAACTTCAGCCACAAAGCTTCTCCGTTTGCGCTTCCACAAGAAAACATCCATTAACGACTATATATCTTCTTTTGCATAAGAAAGTCAACAAGCACCAGTGGTCTAGTGGTAGAATAGTACCCTGCCACGGTACAGACCCGGGTTCGATTCCCGGCTGGTGCATTTTTTTTCTTTACATTTTGTGTTTTAATTTTTTCTGATTTCTGGTTTTATTTATATTCGTGGTTTCACCAAAGCGCTCTCACTCACTTCTTAGATTCTTGGGTTCTCTAGAAGACTGAAAGCATGAACGCTACAGCTCCAGCTGATCCTGATTTCATCGAAGGTTTCAGTTTTATGTTTCTTTTTTTATTTGTTTTCTCTCCAACCATTGTGATTAATTGTTAATTAATTATGCGTTTTGTGGTTTTCAGTTACGGACTACCTCAACGGAAGCGATTCGGACACGAACATCGATGAGGACGAAGTGGCCGGCGAGTACTACCAGCCAGTCTCCGCCGTCGATTCCGAAGATGAAGATCAGAGCAGAAACGACACCGTCTCGATCCACCCGCAGCAGCAGCAGGTGATCTCCAACGGCGTGACTGTGAATCAGGTACAGAGAGGGATTTCGTCTCTCCGCCTAAACGACAACGTCGAGGGTTCTAATAACATGAGCATGAGCATGAGCAGCGAAGACGAAGAAGACGAAGAGGAGGAGGAGGCTTCTGATTCGGCGATAATGAGGGCGTTCAGAGAAGACGAGAATCGCAGAAATGCGCCGTTGCCGCCGGAGAACGCGACGAGGGTTAGGGAGGCGATGCGGGGAATTTCCTTCGCCGGAATGCCTCCCCCTTGGGCTGATCGGGTCCCCGAGGGCAACTTGATAGATCGCATTCGCCAACTCCGGCGCCCGGTTTGAATTGGATTGGAAATTATCAAATCACTGGATTTGCATGTTACCAGTCCATGAAATGTAGAACAATCTATGAAATATAAATAATTTATCAATCATGTTCATTTCATCACATTTCTATGTGACAACAACAACTTAGTATTCAGCAATTCACATAATTCTGAGGCAATCTACAAAAATCGAAATTTTCAGCTTATGCACTGCTACATTGATTGATAGAAGCTTACATTGAGAAGAAACCAAACTTTATTATACTGAAAATAGGATTTCTAATCACCTAAAAAAACTCTAAAGAGTAGTAAACTGTTGAAAATATTTGGCCGAAAAAGCTGCTTCTTCCCATGGTCCTCCCTCAACTGCCGCCATGGGCAAATGTACCACCACATGGTAACTGGATATCATTGAAGCCACATCTCCGGTTGCCTTTTCACGAGGCAATGTTCTCAATCTCTGCACTTCTCTCCATTCTCTTCACAATGCCAGCTATAACCTGATACATGATTCAAACAAACTCAGAATCCAAGAAAGGCTACAGAGCCAAGTGATATGTGTGTGTACATCGAGGCGTTTGGTACAATGATTTATACCTTTCCAGGTCCCAATTCGTAGCTCTTCTTCAGCCCCTTGCTAAGGAGAGTCTTGACAGTCGTTTCCCATTGAACAGGGGAAGTCACCTGTGGTTTTGAGTTTAAGGTCCAAATCAATATTCTTGCTCGTGAGATGTGATGGGGAGGACAAAATTCTGGCTAGCTTACCTGACGAGCCAATATTTTCTTAATCGTCTCGGGATCTGAGTGTGGTTGTGCGTCAACATTGGAGATAACTGGTATTCTTGGTGTTCTGATCTGCGTTACTGCCAATTTAGCTTCCAATCTTGATACAGCAGGTTCCATAAAACTAGTGTGGAAAGCGCCAGCAACAGCTAGTCGAACCTGAGCATGAAGTGAATGGGGGAGGAGGGGGTTCGTCATCAAAAATTAATTGAAGAAGAATGGAATTGCATCAAAAATTAATTGAAGAAGAATGGAATTGCATCTAAGTAGGAAATGAAGAGTGGTACCGTCATTCGGGCCTTGAATGACTTTGCTTTGGCCTCTACTGCTTCCACTCCTTTCACACCACCAGATACAGCGTAATTACCCTACAACAACAGAATCATTCCATGCCATGGTCAAACATTTTGTTAAGATGAATTAAGAACCAATCATCTAGTTAGGCTTACTAAGTTGGATTTGAAGTCCTTACAGTACATAGATAATTTGCAATCTGAACTTTGTTAGCATCATCGACCTCTTGATTGGCTGCATCACACAACTGTTGAACCTTGTCTGAGTCCAACCCTATGACACTGACCATGGCACTTTTGGCAGCATCGGCAGCTTCCTGAAGGAAGTCATAAAAAGGAAGCATGTAAGTGTCATAGATTATGCACTTATTCCCCACAGGAACATGAATCATAGAAAACCGTGCACAACTATAAAGTTACCTGCATGGCTTCTCCCCTCAGTTTGACCAGGTTGAGCCCATCCTCAAAGCTTACATATTGAATCAAGTCAACAAATAGGGAAGATTAGCACAAGAAGATAGCCACTACAGAAGATCACACAAATGCAATAATTCTGCTATGTCTTCTACTAATACATTAATCTGCTATCCTAAACCAAGTAAACAATGAAAATGGCGGTTCATCTCCCCTATATTATAAACATGGAAGGGCAGCATCTGAACAGTTGAATTCCTTGTGGCCCAGTAAACTTAAATGAGATCACTAAGCTAACAGATCAAAGGAGAAATTTTACTTGTGCATAATTTCATCGGCACATCCTTAATTCAATATGAAACCTAAAATACAGTAGGAAAGATAGCATATCTTGCTCAGTTGGATGGCTCACCTGAATGACCCAGCAAATGCTAGAGCAGTATATTCTCCCAAACTTAGGCCACATGTGACATCAACAGAATCAATGATCTGCTGGCCTCCATCACGTGCACGAAGTAACTCAACAGCAGCTAGACTTGTGACATAAATAGCTGGCTGCAAAGTAGTAGTGGATACTAATCAATGACTATCACAAGAAAATCTCATCCTTGAACATTTGACATAGAAAAACATAATTGCTCCATGCCAACCCAGAAAATCAATGACTATCAAGTGAAAATCTGAAACGCATCATGGAGTTAAAAACCCTATCTGTGTAGCATTGCTTATAAAGTTAAAAACAGTTAATTCAGGTGATACTCATACCTGGCTTATAACAGTTGAATCTAGCTTCTCTTTTGGTCCATTGATACAAACATCCAAAAGATCAAACCTGCACACAACAGACACATTAAATCACTCATGAAAACCATCTTCCATATACCGAAAGAAAGTGATTATATCTGAGCTGAACAAAAAAAAAATAATGAAATAACTGTATGAATGCTACCCTAAAATATCGTTTGCTTTCTTGTATAACTCCGCAGCAGCAGGCACGCTTTGAGCTTCCCTTCCCATTCCAACTGCTTGCGCACCCTGTGTTGCAAAAAACAGCAGAGCATTAACAAAATTCAGCTCAATTCAGAACTAAGAAGTCTCTATCTTTAGAAATTTCAAACAAGAAACGCATAGGAAAAGACAAAATTCAACTATCCAATTACAGCCCAAATTGCAAATTTTTCGTAACAAACTGAGAATGAAATTTTGACAGCAATTTCAAAATTAGAATGACTATCTGAGCAGTAAAGTAACGACATTGTTCAAGTTAAAGAAAGGAAATGGCGGGAGCAACGAACTCACTTGACCAGGGAAGAGGAAAGCGAAGTTGGGCTTGTAATCAGCGAACAAGGCATCGCTTTGCAGAGTCTGCGATCCAACGGAGGCGGTCATGGAAACCCTAGATCGCCCGAGGCTCCGGATACCGAGCGGGGCTCCTTTTCCATTTCGGAGCCCCGAAACGGAGGAGGAGTTGAGAGAGATGGAGGGGAGGGCGAGAGAGGCGGTCATGGTGGGGAGGGAGCTGAGCAGGATAAGAGGGTGGTGAAGGTTAAGCCTGAGGAAGGCGTGCATATAAATGAAGTGCAGGCAGATTGAGTGATATAGTGCGCAGGGGGTGTGTTGAGGTTAGCGGAGTTTACGAAGGTGGACGTTGGACATCAAAATCAAAGAGACACCGGCCAACTGCTTTTTAGATTTTCCGTCTTGTTTTGGTCATAAATAAATATTAAATTTACATTTTTTGGATTGTGAGTGTGTTATTTATTTATACACTAAATAATGTCATCATAAATAATAAATTTTAATAATCTTCTTCATAATTTTTGGAAGTGCTACTAAATTGTTGAAAATTATCAAGGGTGTGCTTGGATTAAAAAAAAAATTGGTTAGGGTATTTCGTTTAAGAGACACCGGCCAACTGCTTTTTAGATTTTCCGTCTTGTTTTGGTCATAAATAAATATTAAATTTACATTTTTTGGATTGACTCTTTAAAATTAAGGATGAGCTCCTTCTTTAAAAGAAAAAATATATATTAAAAGAAAATTACACATGTCAAAATCACATTGATTGTAAAGATGAGCTCCTCCTCAATTTTAAAAAGCCAAACTTTTTCCTTCATATTATGTATGAAACCGGAATTAATAACCCACGAGGCAATGTCACGGTCGCACAGAAAAATTTCTCTCATTGTGGGAGTATCAGGCACATGAGTTTCTTCCTATTTCATTACAATCCAAAATTTTCTGTACTAAAAAAAAAATTAAATCTTCTTGTGATTAACAATATAAAGTCAACAATGGAAATAACTAAATTACATCTCCAAATCTCTGGTTAAAGTAACAATATATGCAGCTATCGTTCATTTTTAATCTTACAGTAAAACCAAAAGGAATTCGCTTGAAGCAAGAATAAAAAGTTGGTGTGGGGGTATCATATACAAAGGCTGCTTTTCCCTCTATTTTTCTGCTCTGTTTGCTTCTGCTTTTAAGATGGTCAAAAATGGTGTTACTCCTTTATCGTCGTTGAAGTTATCTTCTTTTGTATAAACAATGTGAGCCATTGAAACAAGAAGTTTGCTTGTCTCTATATAAAATCGACAACCTGAGATTCACTGGACGTCTCCCTTTTGCTTCTTATAACTCTTGCTTTATTGTCTTTGATTTCAAGAACCTGCAAAACATAGTCAAATTACATATTCGATTACCTTCGTTGCTGTTAAGCATTCAAGAAACCGGCATCTGATATTAACGCATGGAAGCAATTGAACTTAAGATTTTTAAGAGAGTATAAATAGATTTAGCCACTAAATTTTAGTTTACCTCTGGTCTTGAATTAAGAACTCCACTGGACATCCCTACATCGATCCTCCATATGCTGCAATTGTATTTACTGCAGGGAAGAATCCACAACTTCAGAGCTGAATCTACAAAAGATGAGGACTACGATAACCCTTTCATTTTACCTAAAAGAAGGTTTGGGATCATACCAATTTGCTCCTGTAGTTTGAGGAGTATGCCCCACCACCATTGCCTTAGCACCAACGGCGTGTAGCGTCTCTTCAAGAATAGAATGTATCTGACAGATGATTTAAATTTCAAAAGCTCAATCTTGACTCTCAATCTCATTAGAAGAAGAGGATGGATTTATATGAAAGTGAATAATAAATTCTGAAACTAGACTGTCCCATTTTCAATACAATGTCCAATTGGATCCAATATTAAGGGAAACAAATATTCAACACAGCAATGAAATCTGCTGGCGGTTCTTTTGAATTCTAATCAAATTATTTCACTCCGAGTATCAAAGAAACAGAATAAGAAAAAGGGAATCCAAACCATTGCTATCTACTTGCCTGGTTGTTCTGATAGTCATCTAATTCTGAAGTATCTCTCGAGTATAAGCGGTTCCAGACTACACTGTCATAGCCCCTGGTGGCTATGAAAGGGAAATGAGGGTTGTCAGACTCATCACTGTCACTGAGGCCTCTCATCCAGTGAGATACTTCCCTGTTCATCCTCTCTACGCCATATGCAACTGCGGAAGGACCAAGACTCCTATCAGGTGATGCAAACAAGAAATATATAAAGCTTCTTCTCTAAAACTTTCAACAGCCAATGACACAAGAAAACCAAATTTGTTCAGATTGTAGGCACTCTTTTTACCATGGTTAGGAATAAGACCACCATGACAGAAGACCCAGTCATTAACCTTAAGAACAACAGCATGCCGTGCTAACTCGCATGCCAATGGACCACCTGGTCTTAGAAGGATTGATCTGGCAATCACACCCTTTTGCCTCTGTCCTAATATTTGGAAAACTTTATCAGACGCAACATTAAAATAGTAAATGGAGAAGAATAAAAAGTGAAACAGAGGATTTCAGTACCCTCACTAGATTCCATGGATCCCAATGATTTAGGGGCATTTTCCTGTCTTCCTTCAGCTGTTTAGAGACACCAGTCCAGCCAACAAAAGCTTCTTCCCAGTCATCTCTATTGTCATCCAAGTATTCCAGGAAATCAATACACTCATCAAATCCTCCAGTTTCCACGTATCTAAAATCCCCTTCCACATTCATAGTCTCATGATTCCCATTGACCTACAACATTACAAAGAGCAGGATCAACAAAACTTGATTCAGAAACAATCTACGTATACGATTCTCAAATTTGCACCAAAATAATCTAATAATTAATGCACGGTTTGGTGCATTGTCATCTTGCAAACCAGTCTATATGAAACCAGTATCTCACAATTGCCTAAACACATTCCTCAAACATCAAATCACCTACAAAAAATCTAGTAATTAAAGCATCTGATAACTTTTTCCAACAATGCAGATTTTCCAATTGCCACGCAAACCTGAAAAACTGCTCCACCTTCATCTTTTGCCTGTATATCCAAGGATCGGAGCAAGGACAAAATAGCTATTTCATCTTCACCTCGATCAAGTATATCTCCAAGCTGAATCAATACCTATGTCACAAAGGAAACAGATTTATCCTCATGTTCTTCAAAAGTTGGTAGTTTCACAAACAGAAAGACCAACTTTGTGCCTAGTGAAGACAACTGCAAGAACCTTAACTACTCTGAACTAAGCCAATTAAAGGTATACCGTTTCTCCACCAGTCCATAAGTCCTGACCATCAGGACTCAGCACACCAGCCATCTCAAGTGCACATCTTGTTTGGTCAAGGTCTCCATGCAGATCCCCAACTGTATAATTTATGCCACACAAAGGCATAAACATTTATAGATAAATAAAAAAAGCTATACTGGTAAGCCTACAACCTCATAAGGAAATGCACCAAAATTACAGTCATTACAGAGAAGTTTTCAGCAGGAACAAGGAACTGGTATATATATATATATTTTAAGTACAAGCCATGGTCTAAACTACAGGGAAGGGGATTTCTCCCACACACACAAATAAGATGCCATAGGGATTCAAACATGAGACCTCTAGTCTGCAAGTCAAGGCCCTTTTCTACGAGTCGTTGGCAGGAACTGGTACTTTAATTAGCTAGGATTGACCATATGTGAATGACAAAACCTCCCTCATGGCATGAAATTTATATGGAAACTGAATGATCATGGAAATTTCAATGCATTCTACACTTCGAATTTGCAAATCCAATAACAAAACTGAACATGAATTCAACTTCAATGCAACAGTTTAAACAAATAGTGACAACCCAACTGCTAAAATCTAAATTCAAATGCAACAGCAACAGTTAAATAAACAACAAAGAAGAAGAGAAAACGCAAAAATATGGTTTTTTTTCTTCCACAAACTAATAAATGTTTATACAAAAAACATAGAAAAGGAAATACAAAGAATACGAACCAGCGACAATTCGGCGACCAGGAGCAGAAACATAGGTGGGTGGGTTTCCACTGACAACTATGGGCTTTGAGGTTTCTCCTTTGCTGCCATAATAACTATTAATGTTGAGAGAATTAGAAGAAGGTGAAGGAGCCTCTGAGAGTTTGGGGGGTTGGGAAGGTGGAGGCAGAGGCAACGAGTTCAGACAGAGCGAAGCCATTGCTTGGGAATGTCAATGACTCAGTGAGTCAGTGGCCATTCATATTGCTTGCTAGCTATAACTTTTTTTTCTCATTTGGTTTTAATGGGCATAAATAAGAAAAGCCCATTTTCCTTTTCTCTCAGCCAAGTATTTGGTATATCTTCTTCTTCTAAATTCTGCTTTTTCTTTTCAACTTGTGCTTTGTCTTCTTTTTTCTTTTTCTTTTTTCTGTCTGAAGCACTAGATACTATCAACCACTGTAAGGACATGAAGATACAGGTAGAATTTTAAATTGTTGAGTTGGTTTAGGCCCAATAGAGTGTTCCAGACTTAACCCAACTAGCAACCACTGTAAGGACATGAAGATGGGCTGTCCATTGAAGCTATGCCAATGGTCCTTCCAGACCAGGTTCTTTCATCCTCAGCTTTGCTATTAAAATCCAGACCCAAAAAAGAAGCCCATTTAAAATGACCAACATGCTCAGACACTACTCACATCACATGCATCCAGACACTACTCGTAAGAGACATTGTGGCATTGCAAAGGGGTTTGTAGCTCAAGCTGTTAAGAACAATTATCTTATCTTTGCATATGAGATCATGTGTTTGAATCTTCCCTTCTTCAATATCGCTGATATATAAAATAAATAAAAAAAGTTGGCACTAGAACTGAGTGGGGAACAAGACATAATCCATTCAATGGATGCAACCCCCGACATATCCCATCTCAAAGTGAAAAATCCAACCAATGAAAGATTCACATATCTTCAATGAATAGTGAGAATGTCACGTTATTATCTTGGGGATCAAAACCCTAATGCAAGTACCCACTACCCAATCTAATCACAAGCATTATAAAGCTGCAGATGTGAGAGGTAAAAAATGTTCACTATAGTCTCTGGATAGCTCATATTATATATATGTGGTGAGGAGGAATCAAGAATCCACTGTATATTTGGTGGTCCTGGATTTCTCTTATCAAATCAAATTATGCAGCATACCTACCTGTTGGCCCTCCACTTCAAACCTTAAAAATTTGCCCATCACAGGAAGCACAGTCTTAACCTTAAATTCAACCAAAAAAGTTTACTTGGGGTGAGAAATGACACCCAAATGGGTCAAATCTTATACTTCTCTAAACCTTAAATCTTCAAAGTTATACAAGTTTAAGT